AGGTATTGGAGTAGCCATCACAAAGCCTTGACCTCAATCCTATAGAAAATGTGTGGGCAGAACTGAAAAAGCATGTGCGAGCAAGGAGGCCTACAAACCTGACTCAGTTACACCATTTCTGTCAGGAGGAATGGGCCAAAATTCACCCAACTTTATGTGGGAAGCTTGTGGAAGGCTACCCGAAACGTTTGACCCAAGTTAAACAATTTAAAGGCAATGCTACCAAATACTAATTGAGTGTATGTAAACTTCTGACCCACTGGGAATGTGATGAAAGAAAATAAAAGCTGAAATAAATAATTATCTCTACTATTATTCTGACATTTCACATTCTTAAAATAAAGTGGTGTTCCTAACTGACCTAAGACAGGGAATTTTTACTAGGATTAAATGTCAGGAATTGTGAAAAACTGAGTTTAAATGTATTTGGCTAAGGTGTATGTAAACTTCCGACTTCAACTGTTTGTCTGGCGCAAACCCAACACCTCTCATCACCCCGAGAACACCATCCCCACAGTGAAGCATGGTGGTGGCAGCATCATGCTGTGGGGATGTTTTTCATCGGCAGGGACTGGGAACTGGTCAGAATTTAAGGAATAATGGATGCCGCTAAATACAGGTAAATTCTTGAGGGAAACCTATTTCAGTCTTCCAGAGATTTGAGACTGGGACGGAGGTTCACCTTCCAGCAGGACAATGACCCTAAGCATACTGCTAAAGCAACACTCTAGTGGTTTAAGGGGAAACTTTTAAATGTCTTGGAAAGGCCTAGTCAAAGCACAGACCTCAATCCAATTGAGAATATGTGGTGTGACTTAAAGATTGCTGTACACCAGCAGAACCCATCCAACTTGAAGGAGCTGGAGCAGTTTGCCTTGAAGAATGGGCAAAAATCCCAGTGGCTAGATGTGCCAAGCTTATAGAGACATACCCCAAGAGACTTGCAGCTGTAATTGCTGCAAAAGGTGGCTCTATAAAGTATTGACTTTGGGGGGGGTGAATAGTTATGTAGGCTCAAGTTTTCTGTTTTTTTGTCTAATTTCTTGTTTGTTTCACAATAAAAAATATTTTGCTTTTTCAAAGTGGTAGGCATGTTGTGTAAATCAAATGATACAAACCCCCCCAAAATCAATTTTAATTCCAGGTTGTAAGGCAACAAAATAGGAAAAATGCCATCGGGGGTGAATACATTCGCAAGCCACTGTACTATGGCAATGTAGCATACACTACACATTGTATGAATGGAAAAGTCATGTTGGTGTACTCCTTTTAATTTTTTTGTTTCCAATTTATGTAATCAATTAATCATTTTACTCTTCTAAATAAAATATGGACATGTTTGTGTGGATAGACGTGATTATTTATTTATTTGTAGATCGTGATAACACTGAATAGTGAACCTTTATCTTTTCTTACAGGGCTACATTAATTAGGCCAGTCGGCTGGCCTACTGTGGCATATTGTGCTATATTAAAGAAACAATCTCTGAATTGGAAAGAAATGTGGTAGGGAAAGGAATTTCTTATTATTATCTTAAAAGGTAACATGCAAAGGTTTCCCTGTTTTTTGGATGGGTTTTACCTTTATATAACAGCTAATAACATTATAAAATTATCTGCAATAATATTTCAGTCAGAGTACATTTTGTATCCTTGATTTAACACTAAGAGAGGCATGACCACATGTCAACATGCTCCTTTGGAATGCTTGGAAATTATGTCATTTCAAGGCATTGTGAAAATTCCATAATCTGAAAAGGTCAAAATCATCTAATTTAGGTGCACAATTTCACACAATCTCTGAGCTCACATGCTCGATATTGTACACAATTAAAAACAATCAGAACTCTATTTTACGTTTTACATTTGATCCAGCTATTCCAGTGAGGAAATATTCCAGAGCTGGGATTTTGAAGTAGTTTTCACTTTTCACTTGTGCTGCACAGTGAGACCTTCCCGCCGGATAGTCTAGTCGGATTTATGCTGTAGAATGAGAAGATGCTGTTCTCCATCTAGCTAATTATAATAAACCACTTGAAACGACACTACAGTTTACAGTGATGTTTATGAATGGACAGCGCTAAAATGGTGAGAGTATTTGTGATTGAGAAAAATAATCAAAGAAATTTCACCAGGAGAGATCATGGTATAACGTTACTTGGCTAGCTAGCTACTATCTAGCAACACTTGGGCTAGCTATCGTTAGCTAGCTAGCTAACCTTGTGTTCACAGTATATTTAGCAGAACAGGCCTAGCTATATGGTAACATTTAACCAGAAATATCATAACTTAAATTAATTTTAATGTGGTAGCTAGCTAGTTAGCCTCGATTTGGTTAGTTAACTAGATAGTTAGCTGTCTGCAGAATCAATGGCTGTCTAGCTAGCTAAGTTTCTAGCTAGTTAGCTAGATTACTTATTGGGAAACAATATTTCTGCTAAGTGTATTAACTTGCTAACATTCATTATACATGACTTATGTCATCCTCTGCTCTTGTCCTTCTAGACCTGTCTGCTGCCTTTGATACTGTGAACCATCAGATCCTCCTCTCCACCCTCTCCGAGCTGGGCATCTCCGGCGCGGCTCACTCCTGGATTGCGTCCTACCTGACCGGTCGCTCCTACCAAGTGGCGTGGCGAGAAGCTGTCTCCGCACCACGTGCTCTCACCACTGGTGTCCCCCAGGGCTCAGTTCTAGGCCCTCTCCTTTTCTCCCTATACACCAAGTCACTTGGCTCTGTCATATCCTCACATGGCCTCTCCTATCATTGCTACGCTGACGATACACAACTAATCTTCTCCTTTCCCCCTTCTGATAACCAGGTGGCGAATCGCATCTCTGCATGTCTGGCAGACATATCAGTATGGATGACGGATCACCACCTCAAGCTGAACCCTGGCAAGACGGAGCTGCTCTTCCTCCCGGGGAAGGACTGCCCGTTCCATGATCTCGCCATCACGGTTGACAACTCCGCTGTGTCCTCCTCCCAGAGTGCGAAGAGCCTAGGCGTGACCCTGGACAACACCCTGTCGTTCTCCGCCAACATCAAGGCGGTGACCCGCTCCTGCAGGTTCATGCTCTACAACATTCGGAGAGTACGACCCTGCCTTACACAGGAAGCGGCACAGGTCCTAATCCAGGCACTTGTCATCTCCCGTCTGGACTACTGCAACTCGCTGTTGGCTGGCCTCCCTGCCTGTGCCATTAAACCCCTACAACTCATCCAGAATGCCGCAGCCCGTCTGGTGTTCAACCTTCCCAAGTTCTCTCACGTCACCCCCCTCCTCCGCACACTCCACTGGCTTCCAGTGGAAGCTCGCATCCGCTACAAGACCATGGTGCTTGCCTATGGAGCAGTGAGGGGAACGGCACCTCTGTACCTTCGAACTCTGATCAGTCCCTACACCCAAACGAGGGCATTGCGTTCATCCACCTCTGGCCTGCTGGCTCCCCTTCCTCTGCGGAAGCATAGTTCCCGCTCAGCCCAGTCAAAACTGTTCGCTGCTCTGGCACCCCAATGGTGGAACAAGCTCCCTCACGACGCCAGGACAGCGGAGTCACTCACCACCTTCCGGAGGCATTTGAAACCCCACCTCTTTAAGGAATACCTGGGATAGGATAAAGTAATCCTTCTACCCCCCCCCCCCCCCAAAAAAAAATTGTAAAGTGGTTATCCCACTGGCTATAGGGTGAACGCACCAATTGGTGAGTCGCTCTGGATAAGAGCGTCTGCTAAATGACGTAAATGTGCCCTTGAGCAAGGCACCTAACCCTAATTGCTCCTGTAAGTCGCTCTGGATAAGAGCGTCTGCTAAATGACTAAAATGTAATGTAAATGTAATCCAACAATTTCTTATTAACTCAATAATGTAGCTAGCTAGTTAGTTAGCTAGTATAAACTGTTTAAATGACAGCCTCTTCACATTGATTGGGAATTTACTGACTGGCTATAGCTAGCTAACTAGTCACATATCTCATTATCTGCATATGAGTGATCATTATTGACATAAATGTTTAATCCCCAGATATACAAGTGTCGTCTCACATCATGTCAGTATAATTTGTTTTATTTCTGATCCAGAAAAGCGCTCACAAAAGCCGCATCTGTAGCTTGTGTTGCTTGCAGTAAACCATTGTTGTTTTCTTTAAGCCTTGAAATTATGTCATCCTTGCATTCTGGCCAGAAAAGGACATCTTCGAAAAAAATGACAGCCAAAATGTAATGATAGACAAAAATACTGTTGTGGATTATTTAATGAAGCCTACATGAGCATTATTATTAAGAGTTAGGGTTTTTATGGAGAACTTTAGCTTTAATCAATTAAAAATGCAAAGTGCTTCATTTTATATTGATATGTAGATTGTCTATCACACATTTTGGTGCAATCCATATCACTTTTGTTTACAATGTTTTAATTAATTAAAAGTTGGTCTTCAGTAACGTTATTTTCGCAGACGAGTAGCCTCGATGTAGGCATAATTTGGGTAAGTAATAGTCTGCAATTAAACATGATAACTACATCATTCTACTACCAGGAGATTCTAGTCTAATCATATTTTTTCAGTTGTTATATGACATTACTCAGTTAAACGTTTTCCTATATAGATTTCGTTGTTCTTGATGTTACTTAATTCGGGTGGGAGTAGTGAACGCAGACAATGGCCATTTCCGCAGTCTAGTATCAAGCTGGCTTGGCGCGGTAAAAACGTAATTTTATCTGGTCTGCTAGTTTATTCCGGTGTTCCTTTCGTTGCGGCCACGGATATTTTAGGGCAGAGCTCCGTGTAATCTCCCGGTAGTATTGTTTTGAGGAAACCAGCGCTAACACAGTGGTACCTGAGAAGTTCAGCTTGTTAGTTGCAATCGACCCTTTATACTTACAAAGCAATTGAGGTTGGGTCTGTCATCATACATGACATAAGGGAGTTTGCAAATTATAACCAATGTAATTATGTTAATTGAAAGAACTGACCTGGGAACCGGCATCACAACTCTTGGCCTCACTCCTCATCCTTTCCCTTCTGTGACAGAGAGGATGGATGGATTATGAGAAGATTAAAATGTTACTGTGTACTGTAAAACATTTTATACTGTGTACTCTGGTTGAAATTTTACAATGGGGAACTTCAACAGGTATGTATAGTTACTTGGTAACAAATTATGCATTTATTACTTATTTTCTTCAGGAATACATGGGTGAATATCGAGAATTGAAATGACCATTAAACAGAGTCCCAGATACCAGACTTTAAAACTATTTAAGGTTGAGGCTTTTGCCATGGGAAGCTGCAAAATTACAACCATTACAACACTGTACATTGACAGCAAATTCACTGACCTTGGAGCCGGCATCACGACTCTTGGCTCTCATCTTGTTGACCTGAGACTCAGCAATATCAGCCCTCTCTTCTGCCTCATCCAGTTCATGCTGAATCTTACGGAACTTGCCCAAATTGGCATTGGCTTGTTCCTCCTGTGAAAAATGTTAAATATGATTTAAGTTTCTAGCAAACACAACAATTTGAGAATTACAAATGCATCAGTTGGATGATGGAAGGTTTTCTACTTACGGCCTCCTCTGAAGTTCTCTTGTAGGATTTGACCTTCAGCTGCAGTTTGTCCACCAGGTCCTGCAGACGGCTCAAATTCTTACGGTCTTCCTCAGTCTGCACCCAAAAATAATGTAATAAATAGAGTCATACTGAATACAATATAAATGTTACATTTGATTCTGAACATGTTATCGTATCTGAAGATTATGCCTTTGTTAAATGTTTTTCATGACGAAATGGAATGTTGGTTGTTCAGGCCAAAGGGGGGATGTTTTATGATGTTATTTGAAATGTGCCGCTTGGAGGGTGACGCCCGAGGGGAGACTGGTGATTGGCCAGAAGAGGGAGTAGGCCCTCCCTTTGCATTGTTTATAAATAGGAGTTAAACGATGAGACGACAGAACGACCATAACAATCTGGGAGGCGTTCTCCAGGCAACGCGTGTCTGTGAATTTATGCTGTAACCTCGTGGTATGAATAAAAACTTCTGACACGATGCAGCATAACGGACTTTTTGTTCATCAGCAATATTACCACCATTCATCATATACGACAATGTTAATAGTGCACTTTCAACTTAAAGTTTATGATGTACCTGGTATGTGAGCTCCTTGATGCGTCTCTCATATTTACGGACTCCTTTCACAGAATCACTGCTCCTCCTTTGCTCCATTTCCACTTCACTCTCTAGCTCTCTCACCTAGAAAGATATGATCAACGTTAACACACCATTTCCAATTATTTTGTTAGTTACCACTACTTTCAATATTGAAGATAGAAATATGTCTAGAAATATGAAATGTGACATTGAATTAATAGAAAGGAATGTAGCTTAGACACTTACTCTGGCCTCCAGCTTCTGGATCTGCTTCTTGCCACCCTTCATGGCGATTTGTTCAGCTTCATCCAGGCGGTGCTGCAGGTCCTTGATAGTCTGCTCCATGTTCTTTTTCATGCGCTCCAGGTGAGCACTGGTGTCCTGCTCCTTCTTCAGCTCCTCTGCCATCATGGCAGCATCAGTAATGGCCTTCTTGGCCTTTTCCTCAGCATTTCTGCACTCCTGCACAGCCTCCTCCACTTCATTCTGAAGTTGGGATGTGTCGCCCTCTAGCTTCTTCTTCTGGCTCAGTAAGCTGGTGTTCTACATATATATGAAACGTTATTTGTATATTACCTCTACATACCTCAAGTAGCAGATATTTAAGGAGATCCCTAATTGTTATCTATTACTGTCTTACCTGTGAGTGCAGCAGCTGAACTCTCTCACTAACATCCAGCAGTTCCTGCTCAGCCAGTTTGCGGCCTCTCTCAGTCTGCTCCACCAGGGCTCTCAGCTCATCCAGTTCAGCCTGCATCAGGTTGTTGCGTCTCTCCACAATGGCAATGTTCTCCTTCAAGTCATCACTGACACGAAGAGCATCATCCAGCTGCAGTTGAGAATCCTGTAGAGAGAATTTTACTATATTTATTTTATTGTTACACAGTGTGGCTTTTTTTGAAGGCAAATGCAATGTTTTTAATTCAATGGTGTGGAAATATTACCTTCAGATGGGAATGGAGACCCTTAAGTTGCTTCTGGGCCTCGGATGCCTGCCTGTTGGCCTGGCTGAGCTGGATCTCCATCTCATTGAGATCTCCCTCCATCTTCTTCTTCAGCCTGAGAGCTTCATTCCTGCTGCGAGTCTCTGACTCCAGGGAGCTTTGCAGGGTATCCACAACTCTCTGCTGGTTCCTCTTATTCATCTCCATTTCCTCATCCTTCTCCACCATCTTCCGTTCAATGTCAGCTTTCACCTGATTAAACTCCAGCTGAGCTCTCATGATCTTGCCCTCCTCATGCTCCAGGGAGCCCTATGAGAACACAGCCACCCATAGTTTGTAAAATCTTAAAATTAAATTCTGGTACTTTCACTATGAGTAAATATTTTCCAGTCTCACCTCAGCTTCCTCTAGAGCAGACTGTATCTCAGCCTTCTCCTGCTCCAGCTGTTTACGGATCTTTTCCAGTTCATGGATGCTCTTTCCCCCCTCACCAAGCTGCTCAGTCAGGTCAGAAATTTCCTCTGTGGAAAAATATAATTGAACATCAAACATTTTCTGTGAAAACTGATCTCTATATCATATCGATCTTTAATTGACTAAGCTATATAAACCAATGATTCTTATGCTCTGACCTTGGAGGTTCTTGTTCTCCCTCTTCAGGGTCTCCAGATGATCCAGAGACTCCTCATAAGAGTTCTTGAGTTTGAAGAGCTCAGTGCTGAGAGATCTGGCCTCTTTCTGGGAGCTCTCCAACTCAGTCTGAGACTCCTCAAACTTCTGCTTCCACTCAGCCAGAACCTGAAAATCATACAGGTATTTTAGGTAGTTGGAATACAGTGTATGATTAAGATAAGATGTACTTTATTGTCCAATAACTTACAAAGAACAGAAATGTGTCTTTATGCTCACAACCCAACCCCCCGAGACACACAGGGGCTGGAAGCAATGGGTCAGCCGCAGTGCAGGGCCCCTGGAGCAATTATTGGTGGTTAAGTACCTTGCTCAAGGGCACAACGAAGGCTATGTAGGATGTAGGACGATGCCAGCAACACTCTGGTTGCCGGCTAACTCCTCACCAGGTTTTCCCGTCTGAGGGTGTTGGCCCACTTCTCTAACCACTAGTCTACCTGCCACCCATATCATGTACTATAATTAAGGCTAATAGGACTTATTTTCTTACCTTGTCAAAGTTCCTTTGCTTCTTGTCCAGAGAGGCAGCAGCTGCATTGGATCTCTCCACATCCACCATGAGATCTTCAATCTCATTCTGGAGTCTGTGTTTAGTCTTTTCCAGGGATGAACATTTAGCATTAACAGCTTCCACAGCTTCCTCTGCATCCTGCAGACGCTGAGCCAGCTTCTTCCTAGATTGGCATAGATGAGAAACACATTTCAGAACAGCTACCTTTTTTCTGTCTGAAATAAAGTATAATGGTTGTTTAACAGGTAATCAATGTATTATTTATTCATCATGTACATTTGTGTATCGCCCTATCAGCCAAGGTTCAATAGCCTGAAAAGTAAGAGAAAGTAAGAAAACTTCCTTACTTTGCGTCCTCAAGCTCTTCAGTCTTCTGGATGGCATCAGTTTCATACTTGGTTCTCCACTGAGCCACCTCAGCATTAGCCTTGGACATGCCACGCTGCAGCTCAGCCTTGGCCTCCTGCTCCTCCTCATACTGCTCCCTCAGCAGATCTGAGTCATGGCGAGCAGACTGCACTGCATGGGCAAGTGCGTTCTTTGCCTGGTAAGGAAATGTAAAAAAGGATCTGTAATTATGCCTGAGGATGAATGTAGTTAGATAAGGGCCACTGCATTATTTGTCTAAATACCTTGACTTCCTCCTCCAATTGTCTCTTGAGGTCTTCAATCTGCTGAACGTTGGACTGCTTACCTCTGGTCAGTTGGGAGACCAGAGAATCCTTCTCCTCCAATTGTCTGGCAAGTTCACCTGTTTTCATGCAATTGTAATTATTTTAAATTGTATTACTAATTGTGGTTATTAATTTTGTCTGTTCATATCAATGTCCAGGTTTTTAGTTAATATACCATTCTCAGTTTGAAGCTTTGCTTTCTGCATGGTGAAATCATTGATGGAACGCTGTCCTTCCTCAGCTTTCGTCCTGTATTCACTCATCTGGTCCTCTAGAGTGCGGCACATTTTCTCCAAGTTTGTCTGAAAACATTTGTTTTTTAGATAACACAGCACAACCGTCATATATTCTGTCTACTAACCTAAGAGCATGTACAGTTCCATTTGCTATATCTCTCTGATCTGTATTTTGTCATTATGAATCCACTGACCTTAGCCTTGACAATCTGCTCCATGTTGGAGACCACATCATCCAGCTCCAGCCTGAGCTCACTCTTCTCTTTCTCCAGCTTCTGCTTCACTCTCTGAAGGTTGTCAATCTGCTCTCCCAGGTCAGCTACACTGTCAGCATTTTTCTTCCTCAGAGTTGCAGCTGTAGCCTCATGCTGCAGAGTAGCTTCTTCAAGGTCTCTGCGCACCTTCTGGAACTCAGCCTCCCTCTTCTTGTTCATCTCAATCTGGGCAGCAGTAGCACCACCAGCCTCCTCCAACCTCTCACTGATCTCTTCTAGTTCTCTGGCCAAGTCTGCCCTCTGTTTCTCCACCTTGGCACGGGCAGCTCTCTCAGCCTCCAGCTCTTCCTCTAATTCCTCAATGCGGGCCTGAAATGGTAGGAATTCAATTTATCTACTAAAAATTTTACTTTAACAAGTAAAGCTTTTCAACAATTTTCTTGAATTACCTGCAGTTCCTTCAGTTTCTTCTGAAGCTGGGCACCCAAGGCCTGCTCATCCTCAATCTTGCTGTTGAGTTGGCTCATCTCAAAGTCCTTCCTGATAAGTAAAGCAAACATTTTAGCGCTGTCTGTAAAATAACTTTTCATGCGATTTTGTGGGTTGTGATCTCACTTCTTCATTCTCTCCTCCAGCTGCTGCTTGTCATTCTCCAGGTCCATTAGGCTCTCCTGGGTCAACTTCAAGTCTCCCTCCAGCTTTCTCTTGGCTCTCTCAAGGTCCATTCTCACTTTCTTCTCTTGCTCCAGAGACCCTTCAAGCTGATAAAGGATAGATTAAACAATATTCGGAGTAAGCAATTTACTGTAGCCTATTTTTAGGATATTACTAATTTTGTTGTAATTTTTATGAATTCCTATTTCATACTCACATCATCAACTTGCTGTTCCAGTTTGGCTTTGGCTTTGGTCAGCGTGTTGACTTTGTCCTCCTCACTTTGCAAGTCATCCAGCGTTTGCTGATGAGCCTCCTGCAGAGCCTTCTTCTCCTTGGTCAGCTTGGCAATGATTTCGTCCAGAGCTGCCATCTCCTCAGTAAGGTTTTTAACCTACAGAAACAGAACAGCGTCATTACACTTTTATCCAAACCACTTAATTAGAATTTTTACATCACAAGAATGGAGAATGTATTTTACCTTGTTCTCTGTAGCATGCTTTTCCTTCTCCACTTTAGCCAGAGTGAGCTCCAGATCATCAATGTCCTTCTTGAGTTCTGAGCACTCATCCTCCAGCTTCCTCTTCTTAGCAGTTAGCTCAGAATTCATCTCCTCCTCATCCTCCAGTCTTTCTGTCAGCTCTTTGGCTTTGGCCTCAAGCTGGATTTTGCTTTTGATCAGACCCTCACATCTCTCTTCAGCATCACCAATAGTGTCTTCTTGCTGTCAATGAGTCAATATATTGTAAGTATATGAAGTTTGTTTGGTGGCAAAATATTTGGACAGTACAAATGATCGACAAATGCTCCACTGATTGTATGTATCTATTTAGCAAATAATGTTTCTCCTCTCTCTGTTTTTCAATTTCTCTAGGAAAGGCCATTTTGACAAAGGATGTGAATGCAACAACTGTAGTGCAGTTAAAGTTACTCACAGTTTGGACAGCGAGCTGCAGGTCATTCTTCTCTTGGAGAAGGGACACCATCTTTTCTTCCAGCTCCTTTTTACGGGCTTCAGATTTAGCATACGCCTCTTTAAGCTTCAAGAATTCTTCCTTCATGTTGGCCATCTCCTTCTCAGTCTCTGCTGTCTTCAGCAGAGGTTTGATCTTGAAGTACATCTTCATCCAAGGCCAATTCTTGACGCCCATGAAGGCACGAATGTTCCATTGGATCACAAGCAAGGCATCCCTGTGAAATTGAATAGAATTAGCTTATTATACAACCTTTTCTTCCTCCACCATATTGTCTGCAGAAGTTGTATCTATTCTTATTCCAACCTGCGGTCAACAATTTTCTGGAACTCAATTCTGGCAAGTAGACCACGTGATCGGGCCTGGAGGCCAGTTATGATTAGAGCGAGACGATCGTCTCTCATCTCCTCAAGGGTACCCAGGAGACCAGCCTTGAAGAACACCTAAAGATACACAAGTTCATAATGTGGTGCTTGGATTGTCTTGTATTTGGCAGGATTGTATTTTTATGCCAGTTGACCATATATAACTTGAATGTGGTATCCCCTAGATGTACAAAACTTAGTCATGTTTAGATTTCTGATTTCATGCCTATTTACGAAAATGACACAAATTGACCACAAGTTGGCCCTCTAATGAGCGAATGATATTGGGCCAAGGCTGTGGATCCGTAGGTAACCGTCCCGTTCTGCCCCCGTATCGCCCCCCTGGATCCCGCTGGAAAGATCGGTATCATGTTCTGTTTCTCTTTACCTTCAGGCCTACTTCACGCACACAGTTTTGTTGTCCCCCTCCCTTCACATTTCTCACTGTCAGTTGTGAATGATAATTCTTCAAGTATTACCGGTGAAACATCTTTGCAAGATCTGCATGCCAACCATTTGATCTTAATCAGTTAAATGGGAATATGCATTTTGATCTTCTGTAGAGTGAGCTATTTTATAGCAGATGATGTTAACAACCTGTAGCATACCTGTGTTTTGTTTCAATTAAAGTACATATTTTGCTTAGTGGTGCGCGCTGATGAGTTCTGGCCAATGCGACCATTTGCACAATCCTCCTAAAATCTCATAAGAAATGTTTTTTTTCTTACAGTAACGTTATACTATGCTATTATAGTCAGTTCTGTTATGTTCAATACTGTCATTGTGATCTTACAGACATTGATTCAGCTTTGATTTAACTTTATTAAACAAGCACAATTTGCCAGAGTAGCCTGTTCTCTACGAGTAGAGCAGAGACCTTCGGGACATTTTATCCTCGGGAAGAAGGGTCCAGAAAAGTCGGGTCTACAGCCACTTTGTTGATTTTAGAACTTCAGTCCCAGCATGTTGACCAAGAGCTACACAATTTGGCAAGGTCTTTAAAAACATGGACAGAAAGTCTATCTCAAACAGTATGGCCACAATGCTTTGAATTGCTTATAAGTAGCTACTTTAGATCTGGATCTACCACATGGTGGCACTATACCAAGTATACACTGAGTATACCAAACATTAGGAACACCTTCCTAATATTGACTTGCACCTCCCCTTCTGCCCTCAGAATAGCCTCAATTCGTTGGGGCATGGACTCTACAAAGTGCCAAAAGCGTTCCTCAAGGATGCTGGCCTATGTTGACTCCAACGCAGTTGTATCAAGTTGGCTGGATTTCCTTTGGGTGGTGGAACATTCTGTTAACCATGAAATACCCAGCAACGTTGCAGTTCTTGAAACAAACCAGTGCGCCTGGCACCTACTACCACATCCAGTTCAAAGGCACTTCCATTTTTGTTTTTCCCATTAACCCTCTGAATGGCACACATACACAATCCATGTCTCAATTGTCTTAAAGCTTAACCTCCTTTAACCTGTCTCCTCCCCTTCATCTGCACTGATTGAAGTGGATTTAACAAGTGACATCAATAAGGGATCATAGCTTTCACCTGGAGCAGGTGTTAAAACTTGACCCATTTATTCTTAATGTTTTGTCAACTCAGTTTTTATCTTGACTTGACCCATTTTCCCTAGAGACAGATGACATGAGGTAAGCATTATCAGTGGTATATCAGAGGCATTGCTCAGGTTAACCTGATAGAGGTGTATAGGTAATATTGCTGCAATTTTTCCATCCTGGTCCAACAGGTCTTATTGCTTTTCATCTATTTAAATAACTTACCTTAGTGTGTCCTAATCTGTACTGGGTGTGGTCAATGTCCAGAGAGCCCAGGAGTTTTTCAGCTGCCTTCATGTTGTCCATGAACTGACCCTCAGGGATAGCATTTGGATTGAGGATGCGGTATCTGAATTTAAATCAGAAAGCAATTATCTTAAAAAAGGGAACGCCTGAATAGTTAAACAGTTTAATTTATTTTGGAAAGGAAACACATAATTATTTTTACCTTTGTTTGAAGTCAGCATACAGGATCCTGTTGGGGAAGCCCTTTCTGCAGATCCTGATGCCTTCCAGCACACCGTTGCAGCGTAGCTGGTGCATGACCAGAGGATTCTCCATGGCCCCAGGAGTCTTGGTCTCGTTGGGGATGATGCAACGCACAAAGTGAGGGTGAGTAGACCTCAAGTTGGTCATGAGTTTACCCAAGTTCTCCTGTGAGTATGACAAATGTAGAATTTTCCATCAGTGAATGAGTTTCCAATCACCTCACGAGTCATAACGGCATTTAATGCTAACATGCCAATCCACCACATGTTATCTAAAATTTAGTGCAAATATAATACATTTGTTAATAATCTTCCATGTGAAAACATCCGAAATATATTGATTTAAGCTCAGATTTACCCTGTGCAATGCAGACACAGTCTGGAAGGAAGAGCCTTTCTTCTTTTTTCCTCCAGCCGCTTTTTCTTCAGCAGCTGTATGATAATGAAATAACAATTCAAATATACTATTATTACTACTATCATATACTGTGGATTGCTATTTATTTTAGTATGTTGTAGTCTTTGCAGATAGAAACACATAGTACCTCCTTCTGCACCAGCATAGTTCACAAAGAGGTTGGCCAGGAACTTAAGACTTGACTTCTGGAACAGTCCGACCACAGTCTCATTCAGCGGGTCCTTGTTCTTCACCAGCCAATTACCAATGTTGTAGTCAACAATGCCAGCATAGTGAACCAGGGAGAAATGGGCCTCTGGTCTACCCTTAACAATCCTAGGCTTCTGGAAGCATGCATTTTTGCCCAGATGGGTGTCATACAGCTTAGCTTTGAATGTATTATCACTGGCCTTGGGGAACATGCACTCCTCTTCAAGGATGGACATGATACCCATGGGCTAGTGGAAGGAATGAATGAAAATAAATTAATACTAAGGGAAAAGCATTGTGAATAAATATCAGAATAATTTGTCATTGAAGCACATTTATAAAGATTGCCCTTGTAATGTTTGAAATCTCAAAGATGACTCTGTACACATCATATAAACTACTGCACAACTGAAGACACCAACCCTTTCAATGAGGTCAATGCAGGCAGCCAAGTCCATGCCAAAGTCAATGAACTCCCAGACGATGCCCTCTTTCTTATACTCTTCCTGCTCCAGCACAAACATGTGGTGGTTGAAGAACTGCTGCAGCTTCTCATTAGTGAAGTTGATGCACAGCTGCTCAAAGGTGTTGAACTGGAAGGGAAGTTCAGTTGCTTTAATTTGTCAGCTGTAATGTTCTAGATGACATGTTATCAAATTTACATCAAACACTCACATCAAAGATCTCAAAGCCAGCAATGTCCAGCACACCAATGTAGTGCTGACGAGCGTTCTTAGTGTCCAATGTAAGGTTGATTCTTATCACCATCCAGAGGAACATGTTCTCGTAAACTTTCTTTGACAGTGCACCAATAGAGTAGTACACCTACAAAATATTAAGAAAATAAATTACCAAAACATAGCCTCAACATAAATGCGGGAATTACAGGTATGTAAATATTAGCAACCCTATACAGAAGTGTTATGCAAAATATTATTAGCTCATTGAAATGTAAAACAATTTTGAGACTCACCTGGTCGACATTCTGACCTTTGGTGACCCACTCATTTCCTACTTTGACCCTTGGGTGACACAGCCCCTTGACTAGGTCAGCAGAGTTCAGGCCCATCAGATATGCAGCTTTGTCAATATCTGGAAAGGAAAAGTTTTGTGATTGGAAGGCACTCTGACTGATTTTTGATTTTCAGATTTGTCAGATACTACTTTATGATGAAGTGAGAGGTTTTAAATCCTCAGCACTCACCCTCAGTGCCATCTGCCTCTGCTTGCTCCTCCCGCTGCTTATTCTTGAACTTCAGGTTGCCGTAGTGCATGATGGCACCAGTCAGCTTATAAATGCCATTCTTCTCCTCTTGGGAGAAGCCCAGCACATCAAAAGCATCCTAGTTCCAAAAAGGCCATTGTTTTGTATTGGAGAAAGAGTTGGATACAAGTGGAATATTATCGTAAGTACAGTATGTACATATTTTACTCACATCAGTAGCCATTAGCTCATCTGCATCATTAATGGAAGTTACAGCAATCTCTCCTTGGGAGATGAAGGCATAGTCATAGGGATTGCTGGTGATGAGTAGCATCTCTGAAAAGAATTGAACAGCACAGTTTAATTTGTGTTCATGCTGTGGTATAGCTCATAACATAATCTACTCAGTATTAGGGTTGGGGTCAATTAGAAAATTAGAAAATTGGCATTGTGTTATATTATAAGTAGACAGGAAGGCAAATTAGTCCTAATCAAGTTTCGAAAAACTGCAGCTGGAGATTGATTTGTGTGCATCCAATTTCAGTGTTGCGTACTTTCATGGAATTTAAATCATTTCAATTGTCTCATGAAAAAAGTAAACATTACAACATAAATAACGCTACGCGGCTGGTTACATCATAAGAAATTAATTTGATTTCATCAGAAATCTTTAGTTTAATCCAGAATTGACCTCAACCCTACTCAGTTTGATGATTCAATACTCACCCAGCAGTTCTGGTTTCTTTTGGGACAGGATCTGGTAGAAGATGTGATAGTCTCTCTCAGCCTTGAGCTGGAAAGTTACACGTGACTTCTCCAGAAGATCTGATCAGTATGGAAAGTGCTTTTGGTATTAATGTGTTTCCTGTCAAAGAGATCTGTTCAAACCTGGGCAAATTGAGTATTGTACTCACAAGTCTCAATGTCAGCAGACGAAAGCTTCCCACTGACTCCAAAATGAATGCGGATGAATTTACCCTGTAAATGATTGTCATAGCATAAATTAATGAGCACACGAGATCTGGGTTCAAGTAGTATTTGTTTTCTTTTTGAATACCTTAGGTGCGCTTGATTGAGCTTGCATGGTGTAATGGAACTGATGGAATATTCCTAAAAGTTTAAATCCCACCTATCTGGTAGGCTCAATCAAACACTGAAAGTATTTGAAATTAAACAAATACTTTTTAAACCCAGGTCTGGTGCACAGACAGTCCCAAAAGAGAAGATTAGCTGATGGACCTGAGGAAAATTGGCTAACGTCATGACATCAACTAATGGGGATACAATTCAAATCCAGAAGATAACATAAGATTTGAATGATATTTGACAAACAAACAAGACCAAACTTACGAATCGGGAGGAGTTGTCATTCCTGATAGTCTTGGCATTACCAAAAGCCTCCAGGGCAGGATTGGCCTGGATGATTTGATCCTCCAGGGTCCCCTGCAAGCCAACAACCATATAGTGTTAAAATGATGCAATAAAAATCTGTACTGATTTTGTCAACATATGCCCATCCAGCCATGAAGAATGTTTAATTTAGGATCGATAATAATGAACATTTGCATTCTATTTGACCTTTTTTTCTTCTGCTGCACTTTTCTTTCCACTAACAGCAGCAATGCTGGCGAAGTACTGGATGACTCTCTTGGTGTTAACAGTCTTTCCAGCACCGGATTCTCCACTGGGATTGAAAATACAAATGTTGACGTATCAGAATTCCTCTTAATGTGAAATCCTCTCAAATGAATATAACCTTTGGTTGATGTACTTACGTGATAAGGACAGACTGATTTTCCCTGTCTGTTGAAAGAGAAGTATCAGTAAATGTGTAATTATCCAAATATCATTTGATTTCTGTAGATGAAAAGGAAAAGTTATATTTTACCAGACAACATGTACTGGTAGGCATTGTCAGAGATGGAGAAGATGTGAGGTGGAGCTTCACTCCTCTTCTTGCCTCTGTATGCATTGACAACAGACTGATCGTACACTGGCAGCCATTTGTATGGGTTGACAGTGACACAGAACAGCCCTGAGTAGGTCTGTGGAAGACGAGAGGGAATGCCGCAGATTTAGTTTCATTCATTGAATGAAGGTTTGATTTAATGGAGATATTAGCAGACAGGTCATTACTTACGTAGATCATCCAGGCTGCGTAACGCTCTTTGAGGTTAAACAGCACAGCGGGCTCATGCAGGAAGGTGAACATCGCCATGTCCTCAATTTTATCAAACTTTGGCGGGTTCTGGGGGTGGACGTCGTCCTCCTTCACAGTAATAGTCTGAAAGACGAGCAAATTAAATGGTATTGTTTCATTTTCAAGGTGCAGAGGTGTTCTCATCCTAATTTGAGATGACACACAACATAGAATTTTCACAAATCACCCATTTACATGTAATGCCTGATTTACATTAACATTAGAGCTCTCAAGTTAGGATTCTTATTTTTGTCGTCTCTTGGGATATTTTTTTTAATAGTAATCAGTAAAGCGCATAACTCAATTAAGTTTATAACACATTTTTCATCAATCATAGAGTTATCCTAGTATAAACATGTATTATCTTATGATTTTCCAGGTCATTTATTTTCAGAAATGCTTTTCAACAAAATAATTACCTTTCCAAACTCAGTCTCAGCAGTGACTTTAGCCCCATCTCTGCTGGTGATTGTGGCCTTGATGTACTCAACCTCAGGGTCAGGCACATAGCACTCTCTCTTTATGTCAAAGGGTCTAGTCTGGCATTCCATACGCTCCTTGTCTGATTTACGCAGAAAGGAAGCTGCGGCGCCAAACTCAGCCATCAAACTGTCCCCCATTCTTATATCTGTGCAGGCATGAACAGAGCATTGAATACATACAGTGCCTTCTGAAAGTATTCATATCCCTAGACTTATTCCACATGTTGTTGTTTTACAGCCGGAATTCAAAATGGATTAAATTGTTTTTTTTTCTCTCACCCATCTACACACAATACCCCATAATGACAAAGTGAAAACATGTTTTTATAAATGTTTGCAAATGTATTGAAAATGAAATCCGAAAATACTGTATCTCATTTACATAAGTGTTCACACACCTGAGTCAATACTTTGTAGAAGCACCTTGAGTAGCATTTTCAGCTGTGAGTCTTTCTGAGTAATAATAATAATAATATGCCATTTAGCAGACGCTTTTATCCAAAGCGACTTACAGTCGTGCGTGCATACATTTTTGTGTATGGGTGGTCCCGGGGATCGAACCCACTACCTTGGCGTTACAAGCGCCATGCTCTACCAGCTGAGCTACAGAGGACCACAGTCTCTTAAGAGCTTTCCACACCTGGATTGTGCAACATTTGCCCATTATTATTGTCTAAATTCTTCAAGCTCTGTCAAAATTGTTGTTGATCATTGCTACACAACCATTTTCTGGTCTTGCCATAGATTTTCAAGTAGATTTAAGTCAAAACTGTAACTCGGCCACTCAGGAACATTCACTGTCTTCTTGGTACGCAAATCCAGTAGATTTGGCCTTTTGTTTTAGGTTTTTGTCCTGCTGAAAGGTGCATTTTTCTCCCAGTGTCTGTTGGAAAGCATACTGAACCAGGTTTTCCTCTAGGATTTTGCCTGTACTTAATTCTATTGAGTTTATTTTTATCCTCTAAAACTCCTTAGTCCTTGCCGATGACAAGCATACCCATAACATGATGCAGCTACCTCCATGCTTTAAAATATGAAGAGTGGTACTCAGTGATGTGTTATGTTGGATTTGCCCCAAACATAACGCTTGTTTGGGGCAAATTCAGGACATAAAGTTAATTTATTTGCCAAATTTCTTGCAGTTTTACTTTAGTCCCTTATTTTGCAAACAGGATGCATGTTTTGGAATATTTTTTATTCTGTATAGGATTCCTTCTTTTCAATCTGTCATTTAGGTTAGTATTGTGGATTGACTACAATGTTGTTGCTCTATCCTCAGTTCTCCTATCACAGCAATTAAACTCTGTAACTGTTTTAAAGTTACCATTGGCCTCATGGTGAAATCCCTGAGCTGTTTCCTTCCTCTCTGGGAACTGAGTTAGGAAGGATGCCTGTATCTTTGTAGTGACTGGGTGTATTAATCAGTGGCGATTTAAAAAAACTGTTAGGGCCTACATAAAGCTGTCCCAACAGCAGAGTCCCAACAGCAGTCCCAACACCTTACCACTGCTACACCTGGCTATCAGCGGAGCCTTGTCTGGCAGCGAAACAGTTCATTCAGCCTCATTTACTGCCTTTTAAAAAAACATAGCTGATCTTGCTTAAACAAATGTGGTTTCTACTGACAATTGAGATGTACAAACTATGGCATAAGGGGACGACAAGCGGATAAGAGGCAAGCCGTAATTTTGATGAAGATATTAATGAGAGAGTTAGGACGGACGTAGTCAATATAACTATTTATTCAGCACTTTTGAAATGTACAGCGACAGAATTCAGAACATGGACCGTTCTTACAGTGTTTTCTCTGTACACCAAGTCAGAACCGTAGAAGAAATAAAGGGGGCATATAAGCAGACAATGAAATCTCTTACAATATTGGATGATTACATTTCTCTAAAACAGGTTTTAGGCTACATGTGCACCACCGAGTAAGAACAGTAGGCGAAATTAAGAGGGGAAAATATACCAAATTATTAGGGTGAGGCACATGGGCTACTAACAGCTTACTACACAACATACACTTAGTATTACTTTCTTAGCTACAGTACACATATCTCCCTGGCATAGTACATCATTTATGCAGCAGCATACAATACATTTTTGGACTCAGCTTGTTGTGCTGTGCTTACTTGAACAGGACGGTGGCGCGGCGGTCCTTCGTGGGCAAATTTTGTCATCAAACTTTGTCATCAAAGTCTGACATTCTCTGGATTTATGGTGCTTTCAAGACAACTGGGAACTCGGAAAAAAACAAGGTTGAATCATGATGATGTCAGTGATCTTCAGGTTGTAGCTCTAGAAAGAGGCCTGTGTTCCCGACTTACAATTCTGAGTTGGATGACCGTTCAAAAAGTATTTTCCCAGTCGGAGCTAGTTTTTTCCCCGAGTTCCCAGTTGTCTTAAATTCAGATTTCCCAGTTCCGAGAACAGTTGTTTTGAGCGCGGCAGAAATCATGCTGGATTGACAGCATGGCCAATGTTGAATGTTTATAATTTTAAGCTTGGAAAAGAGACCCTTAAACCCAGAATTGGGAACATACACCCACTCCACTGAATAGCAGGCTAGTGATTACTTTGCAATGCTTGCAGTTAGCCACTGATTCCTTCCAAACCACTCATTGTTGAATTTGCGATTTCCAACTTCTTGTGTAATGTTTATGTCCAATGGCCTATGAGCACTGATACGTTTTATCTATAATTTCTATTTATTAATACTCTTCATTTGACAAGGATTAAAAAGGATTTGCCAGTAGATTGTCAACTTGATTCATGAGGATGACTGCTAGCTAAGATTTTGAAAATATGATGTTGACATGATCAGTCCAATCAAAGCTACTGTAGATCTAACGTGATTTGACGTCATTTTATCTGTGGCCAGTGACCTTGAGCCTTCTTGGATGGGCACTTCTAATGTAACTCTATGGCAGCACCCAAGGGGCTTGAATTTTCGAGCTCTACCTTTAGATTTGGCAGTGACGTAGTGTCCCCATGAGTGACAGAACACTGAGCCAATCACGGCGCAACTAGAGTATATTACCAACCCTTACGCTCTGAGATAGGCTGAAACACCTGCATTTTGGAGCTGCCTTACTCAAGAAAGCAAAAAAGAGACCATGTTTGTATGGAGGCTTTATTAAATCAATGATTTTTTATTTAATTTTGCATTGTTTGCAAACTGATATGTGACACGTATTAATGCCAAAATAACATGCAAAACAGGTAACCCAAAATAGGAAAAATGCCAAGGGGGGTGAATACTTTCGCAAGCCACTGTAATTGGTTGCACCAGATCTTTTTTAGGGGCTTAATAGCAAAGGGGGTCAATACATATGCACGCACCACTTTTCCGTTATTTATTTTTCTGAATTTTTTGGAACAAGTTAAATTTTTCATTTCACTTCACCAATTTGGACTATTTTGTGTTTGTCCATTTCATGAAATCCAAATAAAAATCAATTTAAATTACAGGTTGTAATGCAACAAATTGCAAAAACGCCAAGGGGGATGAATACTTTTGCAGAAGTCACATAATTAGTTAAATAAAGTCCACCTGTGTGCAATCTAAGTGTCACATTATCTGTCACATAATCTCAGTATATTTAAACCTGTTCTGAAAGGCCCCAGAGTCTGCAACACCTCTAAGCAAGGGGCACCACCAAGCAACCGGCACCATGAAGACCAAGGAGCTCTCCAAACAGGTCAGGGACAAAGTTGTGGAGAAGTACAGATCAGGGTTGGGTTATAAAAAAATATCAGAAACTTTGAACATCCCACGGAGCACCATTTAAATCCATTATTAAAAAATGGAAAGAATATGGCACCACAACAAATCTGCCAAGAGAGGGCCGCCCACCAAAACCCACGGACCAGGCAAGGAGGGCATTAATCAGAGAGGCAACCAAGAGACCAAAGATAACCCTGAAGGAGCTGCAAAGCTCCACAGCGGAGATTGGAGTATCTGTCCATAGGACCACTTTAAGCCGTACACTCAACAGAGCTGGGCTTTACGGAAGAGTAGCCAGAAAAAAGCCATTGCTTAAAGAAATAAATAAGCAAACACGTTTGGTGTTCGCCAAAAGGCATGTGGGAGACTCCCCAAACATATGGAAGAAGGTACTCTGGTCAGATGAGACTAAAATGTAGCTTTTTGGCCATCAATGAAATGCTATGTCTGGCGCAAACCCAACACCTCTCATCACCCCGAGAACACCATCCCCACAGTGAATCATGGTGGTGGCAGCATCATGCTGTGGGGATGTTTTTCATCAGCAGGGACTGGGAACTGGTCAGAATTTAAGGAATAATGGATGCCGCTAAATACAGGGAAATTCTTGAGGGAAACCTGTTTCAGTCTTCCAGAGATTTGAGCAGGACAGTGACCCTAAGCATACTGCTAAAGCAACACTTGAGTGTGTTAAGGGGAAACATTTAAATGTCTTGGAATGGCCTAGTCAAAGCCCAGACCTCAATCCAATTGAGAATCTGTGGTATGACTTAAAGATTGTTGTACACCAGCGGAACCCATCCAACTTGAAGGAGCTGGAGCAGTTTTGCCTTAAAGAATGGGCAAAAATCCCAGTGGCTAGATGTGCCAAGCTTATAGAGACATACCCCAAGAGACTTGCAGCTGTAATTTGCTGCAAAAGGTGTGGGGGGGGGGGGGGGGTGAATAGTTATACACGCTCAAGTTTTCTTGTTTGTTTCACAAGAAAAAATATTTTGCATCTTCAAAGTGGTAGGCATGTTGTGTAAATCAAATGATACAAACCCCCCAAAAATCCATTTTAATTCCAGGTTGTAAGGCAACAAAGTAGGAAAAATGCCAAGGGGTTGAATACTTTTGCAAGCCACTGTATGTGTGGGGTACAGAGATAAGGTAGTAATTTATAAATCATGTTGAACACTATTAGTCCATGCAAATTATTATGTAACTTGTTAAGCAACTTTTTATTCCTGAACTCATTTAGGCTTGCCATAACAAAGTGGTTGAATACTTATTGACTCAAGACATTTCAGCTTTTCATTTTTAATTAATTTGTAAAAATGTCTAAAAGCATAATTCCACTTTGACATTATAGGGTATTGTGTGCAGGCCAGTGACACAAAATCGCAATTGGAAT